GTGTGCAGGATAGCTAGAAAAGTCCAGAAAGTCGGATCAGAAATGTCCTTCTCCACGTTAGGAGCAGCTTTAGCCTAATTAGGCACATTCATTCTAATAATAGGGATTATAGATTGTGTGCAGGATAGCTGGAAAAGTCCAGAAAGTCAAAGCTTTAATCTTCCGCCTCTCGTGACCGCCCCCCCCCCCCATTCTTATATATAAAAGTACATGACTATTACATACTCTAACACTAATTAATTCTAACAAAAGCCATAATCATAACAACACAATTTCAGCTAAAAACATGGGACGGTAAACCATAACAGGAAACCACAATTTCGGTCAGGTTTCGGGAATGTTGCTACAAAAGACACGCCACTTTTACTATTCAACATGTGAACAAACATGGCGGCCCGGTTGTGTTTGGTGCGCGACACGATAGAATTGGTCGTGTTGGCTTCTTAAGAACCGGAAGAAACTACACAATATATAACTTAGCGTTTGAGTCACGTTTTATGGACATGTGTAGTGCCACACGGCGTGATCTTCATAAAAATTATCTCATTTGCATGTTTGTGAGATTTAAATGGTACAGATTACCTCATTTGCATGTTCGTGAGACTTAAATGGTTCTTACCACACAACACAGTATTCATGGGCGAAGCCCGTACGGGTACAAAGTAGTGCTGCACAATACTAGAGAAAGGTGCAGAAATTGTTCTGTGCGTGGCATCGAGATGGAACCTGTGGTAAATGTTAGAGGAATACGTCAGTTTTGCGACTGTAAAAGTTGAATTATGGTGCATGTTCAGTCGGCGTAGATTTGCGCTTTGATACTTGTACGGTAAGTTGTGTACTACTACAGTTACGTCATAGTTACGTCAGCCACAGGTAAATGTGACCCTGCAGTTTGGAGACAAATCGCTAGAGGCCACTGCTACACTGTCCATCGGCCAGGTTTCGTCCGGACGTTTCGTCGACGTCAGGACGTTTTGCACTCAAGGGAACGACTATTTCATACTCTAAAAATTATAAATTCTAACAAAAGCCATAATCATAACAACACAATTTCAGCTAAAAACATGGGAGGGTAAACCATAACAGGAAACCGCAATTTCGGCCAGATTTCGGGAATGTTACTACGAAAGACACGCTACATATACTCTTCAACATGTGAATAAACACGGCGGCCCGGTTGTGTTTGGTGCGCGACACGGTAGAATTGGTCGTGGTGGCTTCTTAAGAACCGGAAGAAACTACACAATATATAACTTAGCGTTTGAGTCACGTTTTATGGACATGTGTTGCGCCACACGGCGTGATCTGCATAAAAATTATCTTATTTGCATGTTCGTGAGATTTAAATGGTACAAATTACCTCATTTGCATGTTCGTGAGACTCAAATGGTTCTGACCGCACAACACAGTATTCATGGGCGAACC